TGGTGCATATGGACCAGGATCACAAACTGGCTTCGGGAGTGGGCTGATAGGGCAGTTGGACAGATGTGGTAAGCACAAGAGGAGATGGTGCTGTACAGGGCTGCCAAGAACTGCTGTAATGAGATGGATGTGATCAGACATATGTCCAAAATTCAAAAAAGGTTTCATTCATTCAGACAGATGAGCTCCAGTGAAGTCCATCAGGGAGACTCGCACACTGGCAGCATGAGAGCGCGGGTTAACCAATATTCTTTCTGAAAAATGACATCTGACGTCCGTACAGTCAATTTTCATTAGCCTACGAGATTCTCTGGCAACCATTTTGATGTGAACTTCCAGCTTTTGAAAATGATTTTTTTTAGAGCCTAGGCTTAGACTTAGACAAACTTTATTGATCCACAACCACAAGGGAAATTATTTGGACACAGTAGCTCGCACATTACAATAAATATAATAACAAAAAGTAAAAATATGTATGGTAATAATAAAATATGTAACAAAAACCATAACAGACTGGTGTCAAATAAAGCATAATTACTGTAAATGTATAAGAAATAAAGAAAAAAGAAATATTGCAAATATATCTCAGTTGGGTGCTCCCTTATAGATAGACTGAGAGCTTAGGAGGAACTTGGAGTAGAGTCGCTGTTCCTCCACGTCACCAAGAGGTGGCTTAGACACCGGTTCCACATGGTTCTTGGATGCCTCTCTGAGTTAGGGTGACCAGATGTCCCTTTTTACTCGGGACAGTCTCAGTTTTGAGACCTGTGTAACCTGTTCTAGCCTGATTCATCAGCCAGTTTCACTTTGAAGAAACCGTCTGACCTCACAGTGTTAGAATTTGTTCGCTCGACGGTAGGCAGGTACTTTTTTTTTCATTTCACCAATCGTTGCTATTTCCCCTTGATAAAATTCTCCAAACATTTTCTTTGTTCTGGCTCGATCTCTGGAATCCTCGCCAACACAGAATATATGGCTCTTTGCTGATTGGCTGGTGCCCAAACTCACACTTCCGGGGTTTTTGCGAACCATTTAGTGTATTCAGATTCCTGATTTAGTCGCTGGAGAGAAATGAAATTGAGCAGAGGCACTAGTTGGCGCCAACCTGGCTACCACTGTCCCAGCAGATTCATCCAAAACCAGTAGTTTGTCCCAGTTTTATACAAGGTCCCATGTGTCCGTATTTTTGACCAATTTAATCTAAACCAGGACTAAACAAAGACGATTAAACACGATTAAAACAGGACTATCACAATTTTTGACTAATCAGATCCTCACCAACAGTAAAGAGGAGCATAATTTTTTATTTGTTTAGCCAAAATACAGATATAAAGCAATAAAGCAAAAAAATGCAGCGACAGAAGTTCCTCAGATTATGACTAACGCGAGAGTCCACAATGTTACACGCTCTTTTCACATTTTTATTCATACCAACCATCCCAACTCGGGTGTGTCCAAGTTTTGAATTTTGAAAATCTGGTTTGAAAATCTGTTCACTCCTACTCTGGGGAGGTGTTCATGTCACACAGGGAGGAGGCTCAGGGCAAGACCCAGGACACGCCAGAGGGACGATGTCTCTTGGCTGGCCTGGGAACGCCTCGGGATCTCCCTGGAGGAGCTGGAGGAACTGTGCATGGCATCTCTGTTTAGACTAATGCCTGCCAGAGAAAATGGGAAGAAAATGGATGGACGGATTTTAGCACATGAAATTTTGAGGTCTGTTATGTGAAAAATAGGTGCAAAAATAATAAACAAACCTACAATATGTTTTAAGTTATCCTAGAAACTTCTGTTGTTTTCATTTAAATATTACAGAAGACGAGAAGGGTCACAACAAACAAAACGCTGCAACAAATACAAATGCGACAACACAACAAAAAGCTACAAAACACCAAAAAAAAAGCCACAATGGAAATGACCGCAGGACTCTATTTTAATGCAAACGGCGCAACAAATACAAATGCCACAACACAAACGCAAACGCCGCAACACATTAAAAAGCCACAACACATTAAAAAAGCCACAACAGAAGTGACTGCGGAACTCTATTTTCCGACGGACCGATCAAGTGGCAAGTGAAGAAGAAGAACTACAATGTGAAAAGTAAAGGAACGGAGAATTTGGAAACGTAAGTAAAAGTAATTTATTGTTTTATCAGTTTCAAGTTTTAGTTCTTGTTCTTCACTTGCCGCTTGATCGGTCTGTCGGAAAATAGAGTCACGCGGTCACTTCCGTTGTGGCTTTTTAATGTGTTGCGGCATTTGCATTTGTGTTGTGGCGTTTGTATTTGTTTTGGCGTTTGCATTAAAATACAGTCCCGCATCATTTCCGTTGTGGCTTTTGTTGGTTTGTTGGGGCTTTTTGTTGTGTTGCCGCATTTGTATTTGTTGAGGCATTTGCGTTTGTTGTGACCCCTCTCGGCTTCCGTAAAATATAGAGTGACCAGACGTCCCTATTTACCCGAGACAGTCCGAGCAGATTTCTCCAAAACCACAGCTTTATCCCAGTTTTATACAAGAAATGTCCCAGGTGTCCTTATTTTTACCAATTCGATCCCTGCCAACAGTAAAGAGACGCATAAATTGTCATTTGTTTAGGTAAAATACAGAAAAGCTGCTTAAAAATGACCAAAACACAAAGAAAATGTGACTATACTGACTCAGATTAGTGCTGAGTGCAGAACAATTTATCTTAATTTTGTACTTGTTTCACAATTTTATTATTACCAACCAACCCAAACCAGGGAAGTCCCAGGTTTTTTTTATACAGTCTATGTTTTTATTTTAAAAATCTAATCACCTTAACTCAAATAAAATGTTTGATGATTAGCTTGGGTTTGCTAAAAATTTTGTTTTAGTCGTGTTTTAGTCTTTGTTTAGTCCTGGTTTAGATTAAATTGGTCAAAAAAGGGACATTTCTTGTATAAAACTGGGACAAATCACTGGTTTTGGATAAATCTGCTGGGACAGGGGACACAGGACTCAAAACTGGGACTGTCCCCGGTAAAAAAAAAAAAAAGAAAAGGCTAACACGTGCTTAGTGCTAATGCTAATGCCAAACACCATTAGCCTATTCACCAAATAAATGCTTCATACAAATTGCACGGACAATTCTGAGCTAAAACTGTATATTTTTGCAGAAAAAGCCTTTAATATCCGTTGCATTTACCTTGTCCAGGTGGTGTTGTTGGTGTTTGGACTCTTTGCTTCTCAGTTTGGTTCATCCCCAATCATGTCATTTGTTTTAAGATCTATTTGTATTATCCATCTGCTTTAATATCATAGTTAAATTCGAGTGGGACGCATAAATTGCATGGAAATGTGACTGTGATGCATATGTAGGTAATAAAGTTTTAAGAGCAGCCTGATCATGGACTGTATGAGCCTGACAAGAGCACGAGCTGACGGACATTTCTCAAGCAACAGCTCCACCTAGCGACCATTTATGTAACTACAACAGACCTGGTACAAAGATACTGGAGAGGGACTTCAGCCTCTGTAAAGATGAACGAGGGCTAAAGGAAAGCATTTCTGTCCTTTTACTGTTTAAAATATGACAGTAAAAAAAATGTAAGCATAAAATTATAAAATGACTTTGATTGTCTGGAAAAAAAAAATGAAAATAAATAAACTATAATAATATGATATGACTACTGACTACTACTACTACTACTACTAATAATAATAATAATAATAATAATAATAATAATAATAATGGAATAAAAAACATTTCTGTCCTTTTATTGTTTAAAATATGACAGTAAAAAATGCATGCATAAAATTATAAAATTACTGTCCGGAAAAAAAAAAAAAATAAAATAATATATATATATATATAATATATATATATATATATATATAATAATAAATAAATAAATAAATAAAAATAATAATAATAATAATAATAATAATAATAATATATATTCGCGCTCTGTTGCGTGCGCTGCGTGCTTCGCACTGCTGAACAGTAACAATAGGCCCTACGCCACCCATGGCGCTCGGGCCTAATAATAATAAATTCTAAAAGTTTGTAAATTTTCATATGAAGAATTAAAATTTTATTCCTCACTCCCAATCTTCTAAATAAATAACAATAAATGGAAAAGTTCAAAGAAGTGTTTGAGGAGATGCAGATTCCTATCGTAATATAAATATAAAAAAATTATATAAATATAAAACAAAAAATGTATATAAAATAAATACATAAATGAAAAAAATAATAAAAATAAAATAATAACTGTTAAACATCATGCTGTATAATACAAAATAAATAAAATAAAATAATATATAAATAATAAAAATAAATAAAAATGGGTGTAATTATACTAAGTATGCTTAGTATGTAATTTATTTTGCTATATGTAAATATTTGTAAAGTTTCGTTACCAGTATACAGAAGCAACCACATAATTTTTTTAACTATGTAAAGAAAAGGAGCGGGTTAATAAAGTTTTTCTTCTTCGCATTCCTTTTCGAGAAATGTGCTCTTTTGTTATTTACAGTGTATATGTAGTATGTGCATGATTATTGTTTCTTTCTTGGAAAAAACTCGAAATACAAACAAATCAATTAATCAAAAATTACACAAGTTAGCTATCATTAATCCAGAAACCGTTTTGTGTATTAACTTCTTGGGTTCTTTTTAAAGATCCCTCCCACTGTATTGTTTTTAAAAAGAAAAGAAAAAGAAAAACTATTGGCTAATACTGGAGTTAGAAAACTAAACTTCCAAAAAGGACCATGAACACTCTTATTGATCAAAAACTCCTGAAAATGTGATGTTAAATCCATTTCTTGAAATTTCAGCCTTATCTTAAAGCGTTGAACCTTATGCCCATAGAGACATACCTAGAACACCCCCAGCGTGACATCACTGCAAAGTATCCATAGTCCAGGTCCAGACCATTACAGATTTTAACAGAACATAAAACTCACCGGGATGCTGCGTCTGAAATAACTCATTACGTTTAATTTTGTGAGCTGTGTTTCTTTGGAGATCGGCGTGTAAACCTTGTGAATGCTCCACAGTTTCTCTAGGTTTCCAATCCCACCGCGACCTGCGTCAGTGCATAGTACAGCCTCCAGCACTGACTCTGAAGAATGTGATGACAATTATGTGCCAATGGTGCCCCCAGACGAACCAGTATGTAAAGCTAACACTGTTTCTCAATCAGCCAATCCTTATCAGTTTGCTTTAATTGGGTGTAATTAAGCGAGACATCCATGAGTAAAATCAGCGAGTTAAACGAAAATAACAAAAACCAAGCCCTGATGAAGCTATCTTTTTGGCAGTGGTGCAATAAGTACTCAATTTTACTACTTAAAGGTCCACTCTGTAACTTTGGTTTTGTGTCTGTCACCTTCTTGTTTCTATGGATATGACATTAAACAGATTTACTTAACATTTATTCAATTACAGGTGGTTTTATAGTTCAAAAATACCAGAAAAACAGGCATTCTGACTGTGAGCGGGGTCGCCTCTCCACAGATCTGACCTGTAACTTGGTCTCCATGAAGATAGAAAGGTTTAATGCCATACTGTGAAACATTCTAGACAAAGAGACAACATTCCCATGGAGAAAAGCATTTGAAAAGTTACACAACTTTTACACCGTTAAGTGAAAGTACAGATACCTGAGAAAAAAAAAAGAAAAAAAACTCATGCAAAAGTAAAACTAACACATAAAAAATCTACTTAATTAAAAGCATTAAATGACCTGTTTAAAATTTATTTAAAGAATAAAAAATAAAAATGTTATGTGCAGATTTTGAGATCTTATAAGGCTTCAAATAGCAATGCTTTTGTGCTGAATATTGTTCAATAGAAACAATTGAATCAGTTGTTTTTTCCTGTTTTTCTTTGTATATTTTTGTTTGCTCAGACTACAAATGTGTTAAAAATAAAACTTCAATCTTTTCAGCAGGTCTCAATCACTCATAAAATAATACCTTTAAAAGTAAAAGTGAAGTAAAAGTAAAAAATATCCACTTTAAAATGTACTTAAAGGTGCATTGTGTGACTTGTATGGTCTGGAGGGTCCGTCAGATGCTTTTCTCTTTCTGTCTTCATGAAACCCAACAAAGACTACATTTACACTGAAATGAATCACCGTACCGGAAACAATTTGCGTCCACACACGTCGTTTCTGTGTCCGCAAGTCTTCGTTATCCACACAGCTTTGAGCATATTTGTTTACGTTTTACAGAAACGAAACTTAAAACTGCATGGCTAATTTGCATAAACTGAGCGCTCAAAAAACAGCTCGCTCCTTGTGCGCTGATGCAGTTCAGCTTCTGTCAGACTAAAGGACACGACTCAGTGAAATATGAGTGATTTTTCTGTGACAGAGGGGTGTTCTGCTGATGGTGAGTCTGTTCTGTGCTTCTGTCGCATTGCAGATGATTCATGTTAAACTTTTCAGAGCGTATATATGAATGGACATATATTCTAGCCTCTTAGCGTTTTGGCGGTAATGACTTCACAGCACATGGACCTACATCAGCGTATCAGCGTTTTCAGGTGTCCACACAGTGCTGGATCAGATCTGTACTCAGGTGAAATCATGGGAGCTGGCTGCACCAGATTGTTCTGTCTCTGGAGCCGTTTTCAGTCGGATTAGTGTGAACAAACGCTGCACACACAACGAAAACAACTAAAATATGTACTACTGTGGACGGAGCCCAAGTTACAAGTCAGATCTGTGGAGAGAATGTCTGTTTTTCTAGGTATTTTGAGCTATAAAACCACCTGTAATTGAATAAATGTAAGGTAAAGCTGTTTAGAGTCACACTGTGGAACATTTCAGATAAACGTTACGTAATGCACCTTTAAGTAAAGTACAGATACATACAGTTTTTACGTAATTGCAACACTTTTCTACTTTTACTTCTTTCCCTTTCACCACCGCTGGTTGGTAATGAAACACTGGCTACAAAAAAAATGTAATAAGTCCAGTAGCTTTTGTTTAACTCGCTGATAAATTGGTTGTTTGCAAATACCATATGAAGGTAGAAAAGGCCCTAAATGGTGGACGAACAGCAAACCCCAGATCTATACAGCCTTATTACGTTGTACAAATGACCAGGTGCTGAAGAGGGACTCCTCAGAACTTCATCTTCTTTTTTTCACAGCTTCGATCCGTCCTTTCGCCCCCTCTCCACTTTTTGTTCTCGCTTTGGCAGCTCTTAAATTGTAACTTTTCTTTTCTTTTACAGGATTCATTTCTCTTTCTTTAAATCCACAGGTCATACGCATTTCCTCTGCCTTACACTTTACTTATTACAGAACCTGTTTTCAAATTGCTTTGCTATTGATTTTCATTTTTTGCTTTTCTGGCTGACGCTCTCTCATCTCTAGTTTGTTTCTGTTCTGGCTTGGTTTTGGCTCGCTCTTTTCTGCACTAAAGCTTATCTTCTGTTTTTCTTGCTTCTGTTTTTTCTGGCTTTTGCTAGAGAGGAGTCCTTCTACTGTACTGTCCCCATCACCCCTATAAAGAGGGAGGTGGAGGAGGTTGAATCCATAGAGGAGGTGAGCAGGGTTGCCACGAACAAAACTGCATGGCTTACCCTGTCCGAAAACTAAAGCATACTGTGTGAATTATAATTGCAAGTGTGAAATCATAGTCCTATCTAGCTTAAGTATGCCTCGGTAATAGAGGTGTACTAGTAGATACCATTCTGACATTGTAGTTTTAACTCCACCCACCTGTAGTTTAGTGTAACATGTTTTGATTTGCACTTTTTTCTGTGTTGTCACAATATCGTAACAAAAACGTGCATGTAGCGTCTTTAAATTTTGATCTTGTGTGATTTTTGAGTTTACAAAGTGCTGCACAAAGATCATAAAAATAAAATATCAAAAGGTATAATTGCTCAAATAAAAATAAAAATACAAAAAATTCAAAAAATCAGCTTGAACCAGTATAGAATCAGATTGAAGTTTCTCAAAATACAGATCCAAATCTACATGAAAGACCATATTGGCATTATAAAACAAATGAAACCAACTTTATTGTGACAACACACATATTGTGAAATGCTCTCTCTATTTAAGATTTATTGTTGCTTTAACACAATATCTTTCATGGCATCTAGAACATGAAGCTTGTTCCACCAATGACTGCTGATGGTGGAAGCAGCCCCATGTCGAAACCCAAAGGAGACAAGCAGGTGGAGTATCTCGATTTGGATCTTGAGTCTGGAACCTCTACTCCACCGAGAAAGGTAAGAACAGCCCTGATAGTGATTAACATTAAAATGTGCGTATTACCAGTGTAAAATAACTTCACATCAGACATTTTAAAATAGAAACACACAAAAACTTGTGTCTTGACCACAGACTGTATATATAAATGGACATAGATAACGCGCTAGTTACCGGGGTCTTAAAGGAAGTTCACATGCGGCGCTTCGGGCTACTACTGACCCTGCTCCCATTGACTTACACTGGAATATTGTCATCCCTCTGAGCCTCGTCATTTTGGTCTTAAAATGTCCATATTAACCTGTTCTGCATGATCCTGGTGTTTTTGTCCATTAAAAAAAATCCTCTTCATAATGTAGAGTCTGGCTCCAAATGTGTCCATATAACAAATCACAATATCACGCTGTGGGTGACGTGACACTCGCTCCACTTTTATGAGCCGGTGGTCATACCAGCTTGTCAAAGTCTGAGCCTATTAGACCTCAGAAGCTAAACAGGACCGGGTTGGTTAGGACTTGCATGGGAGACCTCTGGGAGAATCAGGTGCCACAGGGGGGCACCAATCGCAAAAACTGTTGTTGTGTCCTTATGCAAGGCACTTTACCCACATTTCCTAGTATGAAAGTGGTGTGTGCATGAGTGATTGCGGTGGTCGCAGGGGCCGATGGTGCAGATTGGCAGCTGCACTTTGGTCAGTCTGCCCCAGAGCAGCTGTGGCTACTATAGCAGCTCACCACCACTGGGTCTGTAAAAGCATCTTTGTGACAAATGTCTGTGAAAAGTGCTATATAAATAAAAACTTACTTACTTCTTTATACAGTCTATGGTCTTGACCTAAAACAGACATGTCAGACTCAGGCCTGGGGGTTAAATTTGGCCTGCGATATAATTATATTTGGCCCACAAAATTATATCAGTATGTATTAGAGCTGCCCCTCTGGCTACAAATAGACTATAGAGACATTATTTATTTAGAATTTTGTTATTATTTTATATTACGCTTGTTCTGGATTCACAGTTTAAGCAAAACTATTATTAAAGATTTATTTTAATGAGAAAGGGTTTAACATTACATATCTCGAAAGAAGTGAAAACATGCAGATGTTGTTGGAATTTTTCAATAAATATTTAGTTTGGCCCACGCCCCAGTTTTTAATTTTGGCCCTCTGTGAATTTGAGTTTGATACCCCTGACCTAAGAGGATAATTTCTGATGTAAAACTGTGTAATATAAACACTGTGTCATGACCCTTTATGGCTGGAGTTATGCTCTGGCATGTCATCATCTTTAATCCATCATCTTCTGCGCTGACTTCACAAACCAATCGTCCACCACAACAAAGCTTAGTGTAAAGTTTACTCTGCCCTGAGCCTATAATAATGTTCATTTTAATTGTGTTATTGCAGATGAAAAGCAATGGGGCGGGCATGCCTGCGTCAGACGAGCGCGTGGACTACGTGGTGGTGGACAGGCAGCGGACTCAGGCTTTAAAGAGCACCCGAGAGGCCTGGAACGACGGCCGGCAATCCACAGAGACAGAGACCCCCAACAAAGGAACCAAGTGAAGAGCAGAGTCCCACCCTTCCCCACTTTCTCCCCCCAGCCTACAGCAGCCCCCCACAGAGCTCAGGCCTGTTTAACTCTTGGAGGCTCTCGTGAAGCCCTGGTCCCGTCTGTGCTGTTCTCAGTGGGAGAGTGGAGCTGCTGTCTGTCTGGAGCTCACTGTGCTTCTGTACGTGGAGTGTCGGCCAAGAATAAGCTGTATGCAATGTGAACGCAGGTGACAGACTGGACTTGAATAGGGTTTGACTGTTGCCCCCTTTTGTGGATACATTTTCTTTTTCAATCAGAGTCCAAATTTTTGCTTTGTTTTTCACCTTGAGTTAACATTTCCTAAATTTTTAATGCTGTTCTCGTTCTGAATTCAAGGTAAAATCGTAGATTGCGACAGCTAGCGCGGAGTTGCTCGAAACTATTTTGATAACTTGACTTGATTTCAAACGGCAAACAGTCTGGCCAATGGTATGAAGTTGTTATTGGAGCAGTTTGTGAATCTCTAATGAGAAATGCGACTTTTACAACGCCGCTTTTCAGTCTTCCTGGCTGGTCTCTTCCAGGACAAAATCTAAAATCCACCCGGAAAACAACAGCATATCTGATCCTGCTTTAATTACGTGTTAAACTTTGGAACTTTTGCACTGATTAAACATAAAAGAGGCTTTATTTAGCTTTAAACCAATGAAAACTGGTAATTAGCTTAATGAACCCCATATCAGACCTTGCACTGCCAGTGTTCAGATTCCAGTATTTTACACGCACTTGCCAGCTTATTAAAGGTGCATTGTGTAACTTTTCTGGTGGAGGGATCGTCACCTGCTTGTTTCTGTACTGTTGTTGTCTTTAGTCTGCCTGGAATGTTCCACAGTATGACATTAAGCAGCTCTACTTGATTTTTATTCAATTACAAGTGGTTTTATAGCTCAAAAATACCTACAAAAACAGACATTCTGACTGTGAGCAGGGTCGTCTCTCCACAGATCTGACCTGTAACTTGGTCTGGTTTGGTTTCCAAGGAGATAGAAAGGTTTAATACCATACGGTGAAACATTCAAGACAAAGCAATAACCAGAAGGAGGCCCCAGGGAAGAACCAGGACACGTTGAAGGGTCTCTTGGCTGGCCTGGGAAAGCCTCGGAGTCCCCCCTTGGAGGAGCTGAAGGAAGTGTCTGGGGTGAAGGAAGTCTGGGAGTCCCTGCTTAGACTGCTGCCCCCTTGACCCAGCTCTGGATAAGCGGAAAAAAAACACGGAGAAAAGCATTTGACCGACCCTCCACCACAAAAAGTTGCACCTTTACGAACACGGTCTACAAAGCCGTTTAGTTCTTCATATAAACTTTTTTTTTCATTACAGTAATCTACAGGGATATTTCGGATTGTTTCTCAGTCTCTGACATATGCAAGCACCAGATTCACAGATGTTTTGCTACAATGACAACAGCCTTATGGACGTGGATTCTCTCTGTCAGTCTATGTAGGGATAACTGTGATCTCCAAGGACATGCACAACTCACGCGGTCAGTTTTGGGCTACGTTCAGTTCGAATTTTATAATTTTTTTCAACTTTTTCCACAAGTGCTTCAATCCATCACGATAAAAGCACAAAACTGTACAAAAGTGTTATGTAAATATCCAAATAAGTGTCCTTTATTTGTATGCGTTTTCCAGTGTGTGACTAAAAGGCTTGTGGATTCTGCAGGGTAGAATCCTCCGTCTGATCGAATAGCGTCAGGACTAAAGAATGAATTACTGTGAGTTTAAATCCATTGTGACATGATTTCTCTAGGTTATGCAAAGGTGGTAAACTTAGGCTAGAGAGAGCAAATCAGGTACTCTTTGCAATGACATACTATTAACAGCTATTCATTTGTAATTTATTTTTCACATTATTTTATCGGGAGATGTCCTGTTCATTTTGTCTGCATAGTTTTACATGCACCGCAGTTACATTCACATGCTCACTGAGATTCCAAACTCTGTTGTCTTAGGTTTAATTTATTTGAAATTGAACTGCCATAATGTTTTAATCAAACCCTCATGTTCTCATCGACATAAGTCTGTGCTTCAAGCCTCACGCATGTGTTCATCAAATACAATAGTTCTGCTGTATATAGACTGCCATTGATTTGATAAATGATTAAAAATTTGCCTACTAAGCCATCTTTGTCACTCTCTTGGTCACTTTCTTTGTGATACAAACTGCAAGGCAGGTGATGCTTTATCTTTTTTAATAATTCTTGACAGAAATGTAAATTTTAAAATTGAACTAAATAAAAAAACAACTTTAAAACGTTTGGTTGTGTTTTTGTTAAGTATAATGTGTTGCTGAACATAGGCTACCTCTTCCACAACCCAAAACATGCACCACACACCTTAAGTAATCCTGACCAGGCCAAGCAAGAAGATCATGGAGATAGGGTCTTGGCTGTTCCTGAAGAGATGCCCCAGTGGCATTGAAGGATGGACACATTTCGGGAACAATACAGGGGACAATAAAGTACCTTTCCTTCATTGTTTCTTTCTTGATGTGGTGGGGTTCTTCCATAAAAACTCAGGCTTAGCCAGGAAATGCTTTTCGGTGATTTATTGTGCTCTTCAACAGTGCAAAAGGTGCCAAACGTGAGTGGAAAAATATTTACAGTGGCGGTGTGAAAAACAAAAAGACAAAATAAGTTTTTGGTGGACTTCCCCTTTAAGTCCTGCAGCGTTTGCTCGCTCGCTCTCTCTCTCTCACTCACGCTCTCGGTCGCTCGTTCGCTCTGCCTCACTCCACACAAGTTACCTCCACTGTAACCTGGTCGCGACTGGTTGACAGAGCTGGAGAGCGCACCTTTATATTCCCGTTTGCCCCTCCCACATTACATAATTCCCCCCAATAATCGTGATTTCGCCGTTTCTACGATTAAACGGCCTACGTTCCTTAGCTCGACTGTTACATACTCGTAATAGCTTGCGCCCAAAATGAATAGGTTTTGTATATGAGGTCTGCGAGACCGACAATACATTTAATTGGCCATGCAAATGAATTGTTGCTCACCTGTTGCTCATAGGGCGTTCCTCTCCGGGTTCTCCTTGAACCAGCACTGCTCCCAGGCCAACTGCGGACGCATCCACTTGCACCCGGAACCTTTCATTGAAATCTGGGCTCTTCAGGACTGGGGAAGAACACAGGATGGTCTTTAGGGTGCTGAAGGCCTGCTCACATTCCTCTGTCCAGTTCACAGGGTTTCGCTGGTTCTTCATGGTGAGGGCTGTGAGAGGAGCAACAATTGTGGCGTACTGAGGCACAAACCGCTGATACCACCCAGTGAGGCCAAGGAATGAGCGGACTTCTTTTTTTGTGCGTGGACGTGGACAGTTCATGATGGCCTCCACTTTGTCCACCTGGGGTCGAACTTCTCCCCTTCCCATCTGGTACCCAAGGTATCATGTCTCTTCTCGGGCCCACTCACATTTGGACGGGTTCAGAGTTAGTCCAGCTTGCGCAATCTTCCCCAGTACCAAGGACAGGTGTTGCAGATGCTCCTCCCACGTGGAACTGAACACCACGACATCATCAAGGTAAGCTGCACTGCACTCTTCACAGCCGACTAGGACCTTGTCCATCAAACGCTGGAATGTTGCCGGAGCCCCATGTAGCCCAAACGGCATGACAGTGAACTGGAAAAGTCCTGCTGGGGTCCGGAAGGCGGTGTATGGACGGGACGCCTCCTGCAGCGGGACCTGCCAGTATCCCTTGCAGAGATCCAGCGTAGTGATGTACCGTGCTGCTCCAATTCGTTCCAGTAGCTCGTCGATTCTGGGCATTGGATATGCATCAAATTCAGAGACAGAGTTCAATTTACGAAAGTCAATGCATATCCTCAAGGAGCCATCTTTCTTGAAAACGATGACCACTGGACTGCACCACTCTGAATTGGACTGCTCAATCACCCTCAACTTCAGCATCTCCTGCACCTCCTGGTGCAACTTGGCCACCAGCTGCTGAGGTACCCTGTAAGGTCTCTGTCGGATTGGTTTAGAGTCTTTCAGGCGAATCACGTACTCCACCAGGGTGGTCTTTCCAGGTATGGGTGCGAACAGAGAGGGAACCTCCTGGAAAACTCGGAGAACACTTGCAACTTGCTCACGTGTCAGGTGATCCAGTGATGGTGGAGCAGCACGGTACATCACTACGCTGGATCTCTGCAAGGGATAATGGCAGGTCCCGCTGCAGGACACCGCCTTCCGGACCCCAGCAGGACTTTTCCAGTTCACTGTCGCAATGTGCTTTTCTGTTTTGAACATCCTGCTGTTCGACGCATTCTGTCTCTTTTCCACTTTTGGAGCTTTTAAGAGTCCACAGAGATGCCAATGTGTCCATCTCAAAGCCACAATGTGCTCATGCTGAGACAGAAAGGAGCAATGTTGGTGTAATAGTGTAATTTTACCCTAAATAAAATAAGACTGTGTTTTCTAACAACCACAAAGTGAGTTTCACAGGTTTCAGTCTAAACGTGTTCCCACATGAATTGCATACTAATAGCCTAGAAATAATATTGCTTTAGTCTTATAATGTTTGGATATGGAGTGAATGAATAATGCTCTTTAAAGTTTCTTTGAGTGTCCAGAAGCGTAATATAAAACTGATGCATTATTATTGTTATTATTATTATTTTCATTTCTTTCAGACACTCATTTTATGATTTTATGCATGCATTTTTTTTACTATCATATTTTAAACAATAAAAGGACAGAATTTTTTAATTACGATTATTATTATTATTATTATTAGTAGTAGTAGTAGTAGTAGTAGTAGTAGTAGTAGTAGTAGTCATTCATATCATTATTATAGTTTATTTATTTTCAATTTTTTTCCAGACAATCAAAGTCATTTTATAATTTTATGTTTACATTTTATTTACTGTCATATTTTAAACAATAAAAGGACAGAAATGCTTTCCTTTAGCCCTCGTTCATCTTTAAAGGTGTTTAAAGAGGCTCAAGTCCCACTCCAGTATCTTTGTACCTGGTTTGTTGTAGTTACATAAATGGTCGCTAGGTGGAGCTGTTGCTTGAGAAATGTCCGTCAGCTCGTGCTCTTGTCAGGCTCATACAGTCCATGATCAGGCTGCTCTTAAAACTTTATTACCTACATATGCATCATAGTCACATTTCATGCAATTTATGCGTCCCACTCGAATTTAACTATGATTTTAAAGCAGATGGATAATACAAATAGATCTTAAAACAAATGACATGATTGGGGATGAACCAAACTGAGAAGCAAAGAGTCCAAACACCAACAACACGACCTGGACAAGGTTAATGCAACGGATATTAAAGGCTTTTTCTGCAAAAATATACAGTTTTAGCTCAAAATTGTCCGTGCAATTTGTATGAAGCATTTATTTGGTGAATAGGCTTGTCCCAGTTTTATACAAGAAATGCCCCTTTTTTGACCGATTTAATCTAAACCAGGACTAAACAAAGACTAAAACACGACTAAAACTGGATGATCAACATTTTTAGCAAACCCAAGCTAATTATCAAACATTTTATTTGAGTTAAGGTGACCAGATTTTCTAAATAAAAACATAGACCACATAGAAACATCCCTGGTTTGGTTTGGTAATAATAAAATTGTGAAACAAGTGCAAAATTAAGATAAACTGTTCTGCACTCAGCACTAATCTGAGTCAGTATAGTTACATTTTCTTTGTGTTTTTGTCATTTTTAAGCAGCTTTTATGTATTTTACTTAAACAAATGACAATTTATGCCTCTCTTTACTGTCGGCAGGGATCGAATTGGTAAAAATAGGGACACCTGGGACATTTCTTGTATAAAACTGGGACAAATCAGTGGTTTTAGAGAAATCTGCTCAGACTGTCCCGGGTGAATAGGGACGTCTTTTCACTCTATATTTTACGGAAGCCGAGAAGGGTCACAACAAACGCAAAAGCTGCAACAAATACAAATGTGACAACACAACAAAAAGCCACAACAAAACAACAAAAGCCACAACGGAAATGATGCGGGACTCTATTTTAATGCAAACACCACAACAAATACAAAATGCCACAACATAAACACAAATGCCACAACACATTAAAAGCCACAACATTAAAAAGCCACAACACATTAAAAAGCCACAATGGAAGTGACCGCGTGACTCTATTTTCCGACAGACCGATCAAGCGGCAAGTGAAGAAGAAGAACTAAAACTTGAAACTGATAAAACAATAAATTACTTTTACTTACGTTTCCAAATTCTCCGTTCCTTTACTTTTCACGTTGTATTCTTCNTTTGGTAATAATAAAATTGTGAAACAAGTGCAAAATTAAGATAAATTGTTCTGCACTCAGCACTAATCTGAGTCAGTATAGTTACATTTTCTTTGTGTTTTTGTCATTTTTAAGCAGCTTTTATGTATTTTACTTAAACAAATGACAATTTATGCCTCTCTTTACTGTCGGCAGGGATCGAATTGGTAAAAATAGGGACACCTGGGACATTTCTTGTATAAAACTGGGACAAATCAGTGGTTTTGGAGAAATCTGCTCAGACTGTCCTCGGGTGAAATAGGGACGTCTTTTCACTCTATATTTTACGGAAGCCGAGAGGGGTCACAACAAACGCAAAAGCCTGCAACAAATACAAATGTGGCAACACAACAAAAAGCCACAACAAACCAACAAAAGCCACAACGGAAATGATGCGGGACTGTATTTTAATGCAAACACCACAACAAATACAAACGCCACAACATAAACACAAATGCCACAACACATTAAAAAGCCACAACACATTAAAAAGCCACAACCGATTAAAAAGCCACAATGGAAGTGACCGCGTGACTCTATTTTCTGACAGACCGATCAAGCGGCAAGTGAAGAACAAGAAGAAACTAAAACTTTGTTTCCAAATTCTCCGTTCCTTTACTTTTCACGTTGTAGTTCTTCTTCTTCACTTGCCGCTTGATCGGTCCGTCGGAAAATAGATAGAGTCCCGCGGTCACTTCCGTTGTGGTTTTTTTTGGTTTGTTGTGGCTTTTTGTTGTGTTGTCGCATTTGTATTTGTTGCAGCGTTTGTGTTTGTTGTGACCCCTTCTCGTCTTCTGTAATATTTAAATGAAAACAGCAGAAGTTTCTAGGTTAACTTAAAACATATTGTAGGTTTGTATTATTACTTTTTGCACCTATTTTTCACATAACAGACCTCAAAATTTCATGTGCTAAAATCCGTCCATCCATTTTCTTCCCATTTTCTCTGGCAGGCATTAGTCTAAACAGAGATGCCATGCACAGT